GAACCCCTGGTGTTTTGCACATTTTGACTTCGAAATGTGCTTCGTGCCACAACGGCGTGCACTTTTTCGAAACTCGACCTCTGAGCCTCCAAAAGTGGTCCGAACCCCTAGTGTTTTTAACATTTTGACTTGGAAATGTGCTTCGCGCCACAACGGCGTGCATTTTTTCGACATCTTAAGTGCCAAAAGTGGTCCGCACTTGGTGTGTTTTCTACATTTTGACTTGGACATGTGCTTCGCGCCACAACGGTGTGCACTTTTTCGACATCGCAACTTCCAAAAGTGGTCAGACCCTGGTGTGTTTTGTACATTTTGACTTGGGGATGTGCTTCGCGCCACAACGGCGTGCACTTTTTCGACATCTGAAGCGCCAAAAGTGGTCCGATCCTCTGGTGTTTTGTGCATTTTGACTAGGAAATGTGCTTCGCGCCACAACGGCGTGCAATTTTTCATGTCTCATCTCCCCATATGTCTCCACACCCGCCGCTTTAGCGAGCCTACTTTTCGACCCTCCGGAACCACAAATCATTGGAAAAACACAGTGAATCGCGACTTTCCTACCTTTTCGCGCATCTGCATCTTCTTTCTTCTGACTCTTTCTCTTCTGAACTTTCTCTTCTCTCTGCCTCTGCCCTGCTCTGCTTTTCATCTGTCCATATTGTCGGAAGTTTAGCTTCTCAACTTCCTTCGACAATATAGTTAAAGATATGTATCTATAAATATATATATATATACACATAATAATTCCATGATATATATCCATATATACTAAATAATCTCAATATACATATAGATTCGTATATATATATATGCATACTCTACCCAGCAATTGTGGGATATTGCGCTTTGGCTAGTGGTTGCCGAAGCATAATCGCTGCCCCTTGCTCAGCATATCTAGATCATTTGGTGGATTTTCCGCAAGGGTTCCTCGAAGATATTCTCTTCAACCAAAAGACTTCGCTAATGACATTTCAATATGTTTCATATATATGTATATTCGTATATATATAGTTATCATGTATAATAACTAGAACACCTATAATGACTAGAATTACTATAATAACTAGAACATAATTATCACAACTATATTGAACCCCCCCTTCGATTCCCCCAAGGTCCGCCTCTAAAGCCGCGTTTGCAAGAAGTCACCCCGCGGGCCCACTTTTTGCACCAAGATTCCAGCACCAGGATAGCCCTAAGTCAGTTGCTTTGGGTACATGCTGGGGTCAAAACCCCACGTTTGTGAATCCCACACTGTTCTACACATGTACACACCAGAATCAACCCCATCCGCGTTGCAACAATGTGCTGCCCCCAGTTACACGTTGCCTCGCAAACCCCATAACCTGATATTTATACATATATCTAACTATATGTATGTATTTATATATATATGTCTGTGTGTCTGTGTGTGTGTCGTGTCCCCCCTCCCTGAAACCTACCTTTTTGGTACCCGCCCTCGAGTCCAAGCCCAGAAGACTTTTTTCGATATCCGCCCCAACTCCACCCACGTCCGTCCGCAGCGGATATGCCTCGTTCCCTTGCTCTCTTCTCCTGTTCCAACCCACGCCTACCTTTCGATCTTTCACCCTTCCCTCTCAAGTGTCATGTTTCAGCTGGAGTTGAAGACCCTAGGATGGTTAGTGGAGACATGTGGAGACAATAAACCCAGGAATTGGATGATCTTTGAATGGGGCGTTGCTCCCTGGTTCGTTGTGAGGCTGCCTTCCAAGAGGGTCTTGAACGCTACATTGGCCATGGACGGCGTCCGGACGCCCTCTGCAGACGTCATGATTTGCATCTCATGATGACGGTGGTTCTTCACAAACCGTTGTTCCCCTAAGGGCATTGTCCGGAGTGGAGACAACAGGACAGAAGTGAGTCTCGTTTACAAAGTTTACAATCCTGGTTGCAGATGCGGCTCGTCGGTTCTGCATTGGAGAACAATCGTGCCTTGGTTCGAGTGACAAATGACAACCAAATATAACCAAATCATAAATCTTTGTTTTCGAATCTATTACCCTCTGGTAATTTAACATAGCTATGGAAAATCACTATTTTTTATGGGAAAATCATCCCCCTTGCCATTTCCTCCACAGAATGGGGGGGGTTGGGGTGCCTATATGGCATCATTTTATGGGAAGTGTTGGCCTTAAATGGGGTCGAGCATGCCATTTTGTAGTAATTTGTGGGTTTTACCTGGTTTTATCATTTTTGTTTTGAAGGCATGATCATTTTTGGGCACCAAGACAAACCATTTTGTAACAAACAAAAAGCCATTTTGTAGATGTTTTTAAGGGTATGATTTGGTGGTTTTAAAAAATGTGAATTAGTCATTGACAAAGAAAAATCAGCTAGC